GTTTTGAGAATGATGAGGGCAATGAATGTACAAATGCGCTTTACACAATTGATGTATGTATGGATTGTGATAAGAGTTGTATGAGCCCCTAATAAAATAATTTTAAAAAAAGAAAGTCTCATATATCTTTGGCCCCACTATAGTTGTCCCTCTTAATAGCATCTTGCATTGCTGTGATTAGTATAATGCATGATCCAATATTAATACATTATTATTAATAAAACTCCACCAATAAAACAAAAAAGTTAATGTTCACTCTTTTGTGTTGTATTATTCTATGGGGTTTGAAAAATGCATAATATCATGTAGTCACCATTACAGTTCTATACAAAATAGTTTTGATACTCCAAAGTTGCCTGCCACCACTTGTATGTCAGTTAGCCACAGTGTGGTGGCTTGTGTGATGCTGAAAGCTATATCACTTGTATTTCAAACAACAGAAGGGTTGGTCAAAGTGAACACATTTCAGCAGAGCTTCCAGACAAAGAACAGACTACTCAGAAGGAATAAACTGTCCATTTCAGAGGAATAAGCCACTGAAAAATGTATAAATAGCATAGAAACATTGTCAGCTACTGAAAGCATAATGAATAGAAGCAGGATATTATCAGACATAGTATCAGAAGATGAGCCCCTCATGTCAGAAGCAAGCTACGACTGAGGAAGAACTGCATTCTCAAGTAGTGTCTACTAGAACGATCGGGATGGGGTAGTCTTCAAATCCTTCATTTGCTGATAGGGCACAACTCAAAATGAGTGAAACAGCTTCAGAAGTAATAATCAGAACTTGGACTGTGTGAAATATGAATTTAGGAAAATATGAAGTCATCAAATATGAAATGGAATGCAAAAGATTGATATTCCAGCTCATCAATCAGCTGAAAGGAATTGGTACTGACCATTTGAATGAGAATATCATGCGATTAACTATGCTGCAAATGACACAATCAAGAGGAACAACATTTCATTCTTTATCAAAAAAGACAATTCAAGATCAATCTTGAAGTACTTTTCTATGATAGGGTAATAACTATCTGCATACAAGAAAATTAAATCAGTACAACTATTATCCAAATGTATGCACCAATTACACAACTAAAACTAGTGATGCAGAAATTAAAGAATTTGACAATGTCTTCAGTCTGAAATTGATGAAACATGCAATCAAGATGCATTGATAGCTATTGTTGATTGGAATGAAAGAGTTAGTAGATGGAAAATATGAGCTTGCTGATAGCTATGAAGCTGGAGATCATATGTTAGAATTTTGCAAGGCCAACGACTTGTTCATCACAAGTATGTTTTTTCATGGACGTCTGCAGGTGGAATACACAGAAATAAAATTGCTTATATATGTGGGAAAGGAGAATGAAGAAGCTAAGTATCAGAAGCCAACCAGGCCAGATGCCAAAGATGGTGGCTTGTGTGTTTCTGTGATCAGTTATTCATATATAATTTTCAATTGAAGCTAAAGAAAATTGAAACAGGTCCACAAGAGCTAAATATAACATTGAGTATATCAAACCTGAACTTCAAGAATAGATTTGATGCATTGAACACTGACAGGAGACCCGATGAGCTGTGGGTAGACATCCATAGCATCATTTAAAATAAAAAGCAAAAGTTCATTGGAATAATAGGAAAGAGAAAGAAAATCACAGTAAATGTCAAAAGATTCTGAACCATGCTCTCAATCATTGAATAGCTAAGGCAAATGGAAAAATGATGAATTGAAAGAAGTGAACAGAAAATATGATAGGGCTGTTTAAGTTTAAATATTTTGAAATACTATGAGTAAGATATTGAATGATGTAGGAAACATCCAAAGAAGATGTAAAGAATATACTGTGACTGTACCAAAAATAATTGGTGGACATGCAAACATTTCAGGAGGTAGGATATAAACAAAAACCAATGGTGTTGAAAGAAAATATCCAAGTTTCACCGGCAGCATTAGCCAAAAACAACACTCCAGGAATTGTGGTGAAGAAGGCTGATGGTGCCTGGCTATTAAAACTTACAGCTTCTGGGGTTTTAAAGACTTGAAGTTAAACAAGTGGCCATCTAGCAGGGAAGCAACAAGGCCCACATGGAAAAAGCACACCAGCCTGTGTGATCATGAGGTGTCAACAGGATCAGGTATCAGTCATCAGAAGACCCCAAACAAACAAATGTACTGAAGCAAATGATGGGGGTGGGAGTAGAGACCCAAAGCCCAACTGTAGAAAATTGGACATTCCCTCACATAAGGGTCACAAGGAAAGAACGGGACAGCCAGAGTGCAGTATAGCACCGATGGAACACACAACATTCCTCTAGTTCTTTAATGCTTCCTCCACCCCACTATCATGACTCCAGTACTACCTTGCAAATCCGGCTAGACCAGAGAATGTACACTAGTACAGATAAGAACCCTCAACACACAGAATCCGGGACAGATAAACCCTTCAGGAACGGTAATGGAAGTAGTGATACCATGAGGGTAGAGGAAAGATGGGGAGAGAAGGGGGAGAAACAGGGAATCGACTATAATAATCAATGTATAAACACCCCCTCCAGGGGAGATGAACAACAGAAACGTGGGTGAAGGGAGACAGCAGATGTTGTAAGATATGAATATAATAATAATTTATAATTTATCAGGTGTCCACGAGGTTTGGAGGGTGGGAAGAGAGGGACTAAAGAGGAGCTGATTATAAAGGACTCAAGCAGAAATAAAACGTTTCGAAAACAATGATGGCAACATATGTACAAATATGTTTGATACAATTTATGTATGGGTTGCTACAGGAGCTGTAAGAGCCCACAATAAAATGATTTATTAATAAAAATAGCAAAAAAAGCATATATTTTAAATCCTTAAAAATCAATTTAAAAAAGCACAACTGAACAAGCACTTCAAAATGGCTACATTGCTGATAAACATAAAATGGTGTTAGATTTCCTTTTTCATTAGGAAAATGTAAATTAAAAGCCCTGTAAACCACTACTAATACTGCTATACACATACACACACTCAAGAGATTTAGAAATTAAATAGACTAATAGTACAAGTTTAAGTGAGATGATGAAATAACTAGAACTGTCATACATGCTGATGCAAATGTAAATTGATATGAACAGCTTGAACTCCGATTGACAGTATCTACCAAAGATGACCTCAGACATAATGTATGACCTACTTTCCACTTTAATGAATCTATTCAATGAGAAACACATATGTGTGCATCAGAATACTACAAGGAGAGTTAATATTTGATTTGTTTCTGTTTCATACTAACAATGAAATTCGAATAGATCATTAGCCTACCTATGAACATACCTATATCTTTAAAATGGGAAAAATTATATATACTTATCAGCACCATCTTGAGTAATAAAAAACATTATGCTTGTGAAATAGTTTATATATGTGTATATGTTACAAAATAACACTAAAATTCTTAAACTTAAAGACACATTTCAATTGGTGGATAAATATTTTTTTTGGTCTCAATATTCACTTTTGCTCTTCTACTTTTGAAAATCACATTATATAGTAGCTAGGACTATTAACAACGGGAAAAAAACATGAATATTTAAGAGCAATCCTCCATGCCCTTCAGTGGTTAACTATCTTTCTTGAAGAAAATCTTGAGCACTCGCTCTCGAATCTGCTTAGTCTTCACCCCATAGATCACAGGGTTCAGGGCTGGAGGTACAACCACATATAAATTTGCTAAGATAATATGTATATATTGGGGAACATTGTGGCCAAAACGATGTGTCAAAAAAGAGAAAAATGCTGGCGTGAAAAAGGCTAAGATAACACCAATGTGAGAGCCACAGGTGTTGAGAGCTTTCAGTCGGGCTTCCCAGGAAGGCAGGTGGAAAACCATATAGAGGATCCTAACATACGAGAGACCAATAAGGAGCACATCCAATAATAAGAGAGAAATATTTCCAAGACCATACATAATATTCACTTTGATACTGGCACAGGCCAGACGGGCAATGCCCATGTGCTCACAGTAAGTATGAGGGATGATACGGTGCCCACAGAAAGGCAGCCTCAGGAGGAGGAGCACTAGAGGAAGCACCATGTACAGACTCCGCAGGATAGCAATGCCTGCAATGATGCTGATGATTTTGCTGGTGAGAATCATGGTGTACCGGAGAGGGTTGCAAATGGCAACATAGCGGTCAAAAGCCATGGCCACAAGCACAATGCTTTCCATGGCAGTGAAGAAATGGATGAAGAACATCTGGGAAAGGCAGCCTCCAAAAGATACATCCCTGAGGTTAAACCAGAAGATGCCAAGCATTTGGGGGATGGTGGCTGTAGACAAGCCCATATCAATGGAATCCAACATGGCCAGGAAGTAGTACATGGGCTCATGGAGACTATTGTCAGTCTGGATCACAAAGAGGAGGGCAGCATTCCCCAAAAGTGCAACAAGATAGACAAATAAAAAAGGAATTCCAATCCAGATATGTGCACTTTCCAGCCCTGGGATTCCCACTAGGAGGAATGAAGAAGGATGAAACTGAGTGTCATTTGGAATGAACATTCTTCCAGCCAAAATTAGATGCCCAGCATGTAAGAAACTTCTTGGTTGCCTTCATTGATTCCACTTCCTTCGTTTTCAAATTCCTGGTGACATTTCAAATAACATTGTTATTTTTCATTCTTCTGACTCAAAAAAGAATTCAAATACTGTAATCATATTTTTCTAACTCTACCTGATCTTTAACTCAGCACCAAGAATACACTCCATCCTTCTCTGCTGCCGCTTACTCTAAGTTCAAGCTTAAGCTTGAAGAAGGGAACAGAGAAAAATATCAATCAACCAGATAGAATTTCATAATCGGGAATATAGCCTGAAATAAATGGGAATTAAGGCCCAGAACTTATGTCTCTGCTATTTGAAAGCCTATTTGTTTTGTGCTCATAATCATTTCTTGAGTATTCACAATGTCAACTGTTTCTCTATTTGAGATTGTAAAATTCTAAATATTTAATGTGATTAACACTTAGTGTGTGGGTTTGTATGTATGGTGATGTGGATCATCGTGTTTGTGTGTTATTGAATACTGAATGGTCTGATTTTGAAAGCAGAAACAGTCTTTGTTAATTCATATGTCTATAAAGAGTCTTCCGTATGAATGTTGTTAATTGTTAAAGTTCCGTAAGTAAATGTTTCAGATCAGATATGTTAGTAATTTCAAAGTTATCTTGGAAAATAAACAACCTAGGTTCCATCCTACCTGGGTTTTGGGGGAACTGTATCAGATTTTTAAGAATGGACAAAGAATTTGTATATTCTTTAAACACGCCACCAGGAAGCCTCGCTTGTAAAGATACTGTCTAAAGATGGGGCAAAATGGAGAGAGGACTTAAATTTTCTAACTGAGATAATGTTTGATGTATGATGAAGAGAATAAGAAAGAATATTAGGGAGCCAACAGTTTACTTCCACTAATATTCTCTCCTAGATCTTAGTGTCTTAATGGATGCACCCTCTTTAGTTACACAGAAAGAACTATTAAATAATATTGGTTTTTAGCATTTATCTAAACTATTGGGAAATTCTGAACTTGCAATTAATTAGAAGATTGGGAGAAATCATTACTGCATGACTTTTGTGAGTAAACATATTTCTACAGAAAATTTTAAAGTAGTTGAATGTGATATGTATAATTGCATAGAGTATGATTCAAATTTGGGAGAATATTTAGAGGCCGAGGCAAGTTAAAGTTTAGAAGTACACAAAAGAGAAAAAGGAAATTCAGTAGAATTTCGACAGGTGCCTGACAAAGGGGGAAAGGGAGCTGATTTGAAGCATATAAACAATCACAAAAATGAGAGGCTACTTGGGAAATTCAGGTAGATTTTGTGAGTGTGCATGTGTGTGGATGATAGTTGAAGTTCTTAGTTTTATTTTTTACTGTAAAAACATAAAGAACATAGCATTTGCCAATTTAGCATTTTTCATATGTAAAATTCAATGCAGCCAAACATAGATCACCGTGTTCCCACAAACTGCTAGAATAAACATAAGATTCTCCACTTTCTCTTTAGTAGAAAATAAACAATGAAAATTCATGGTATTCATCAAAATTTATTCCATCAACAATTTAAGACCTTCGATATGTGCTAGCCCTGATAGGCAATGAGTAAAAATTTGGATAAGAGCTCTCATATCCCATCAAGAAGATTTCTGTGCAGTAAGGGAGATAAAATTCCAAAGATGAAATTTAAAAACTGGATTCTAAATGCTATGGTTACAGCATATGGTTAAAGAAAATGTTATAGAATAGAGTAAGGTGAAGAAAAATTCATGTAAAAGGTAGGTTTATGTTAAGAATTTAAGAGCAAGTATCAATAAAACTAAGAAATAAGGTTTTATATCAGGTAGTGATAATAACAAGGAAAAGGAAGCACAATGGTCAGTAAAAATATAAATAATAATCTATTGTTCTTTGTATGATCATATCTTGAAAGTCAGTGGATTTATTGATCCACTCTATTGATGACCAAATACATACATAATGCCTAATTAATTGAACTCATATGAGATGATGTATATGTAGCTATAAACACATGTACATATATATATAATTTAAATGCACATTTCCATATAAATAAAAAATAGCTCACTTAGCCCTGTGTATTTTTCAGAAATATTTTTAAACTGATGCACTCCTCCTCTCTACGAAAACATTGTTTCCAAGTTGTTAACATTGCTCAAAGCAACATTTCCTTTAATTATTCTATAAATGTATACCAATTCATTTTTGCAGAATGTATTCAGAGATCATTCCTTTAGTGCTGGCTTTGGCAATAAGACTGGGTGCCAGCCCCTCCTAGTCCCTAAAAAATTTAATAAAGTTTTTAAAATGCTATTTTAAAAAATACCCCCAGGGTTTATGGGAAAAAATGAGGCTAGAAAATAAATATCAAAAACATTTTCAATGTGTAAGTATGTATATAGTAAATATACATATATAGTAGATATACATATATGTTTACTATTTACCTATTCTAAACCTGGGACATTTCTAGAAAATAGGGAAACAATAGCCAAACTGATAGAAGAAATAGTAGTAAATCACCTTGATCCTCAGCTTCACTGTCCCTGTGGCTGTGTGTGTGACACTTTGCAGAAATATACACATATATGTAAAAAAACATGTATTCCCTGGAGGTATGATCACTAAAGGCATGTGCTTTCTTCCTTCATTCTGGTTTCATCCTTCACTCACGCGGTCCTGCTTCTTTGCATGTTTCCTTGGCATTGCCCTTTCCTCGTCATCTCTTTCATTAGGTTTCACAGCCTTAAAGTGAAGTAAACTCACCGTGGTCACCACTCTAAGAGTAGCATTTTGAACAAACCCCATGAATCTCTCTGGGACACTCAATTTTCTATGTATATGTAGATTGTTGGTAGGATTCTGATTCCCCTGGGAATAAAATGGTAATTTCTTTGAGACCCTGAAAACTAATTAATAGGCACAAGAGGATTCTCTTTCGGAATCTCTTTCTCACTACACTGTCTGTCGTGAAGTTAATTCCACTTCAAAGTGACCCCATAGGATAGGGCAGAGCTTCCCCAAAGAGTTTCAGAGATTATAGCCATTATGGGAATGGATTACTTGGTCTTTATTTTCTCATGGAGTCACAGTGGGTTTGAACTATCAACCTTTTGTTTAGCAGCCTACTGGTTTATCACTGCCTGTGTTCCCTTATGTATATGCTTAGGATTGTGTGGCACATTCTTTTGAAAATGGCATGAGCACTGGGGCAATTTTGCAACACTGCTAACAAATCACTATATGTAGCTACTATGCCTGCCTGTTTAGTTTCTAACCAATAAACACTATGGTATCCTTTTTGCTGGTGAATCCATTGGGTTACACTATTCTAACTTGTGCTGTAGCATCTGCTTCTTGGTTTCTCAGATGGATCAGTTAGGTCAGCATCTAAGATTTGTAGGTGATCTCAGAAATCTTGATACAGGACTTGTCCATCATCTGCAAATGATCTGTATGCCTTTGGCTAGTCCTCCTAATTAACACTCAGATTACTGCACAACTGTCTGCACAAAGGGTTAAGAGAGAGAGCTTGTGGGTGATGACCATCCATGCAGTCTTAAATTCAGCCCATTGGATGATCCTGATCCAAACAGATGGTACTATTAGAAGCTTGTATGACCACTGCCATCCACAGGGGTGGCTTACAGGGCCTACCGATATCAGTGTACCAGGCATCTGCTGGCAATGAGTCTTCTCTTCTCTTAGAGAGGGAATATAGCTCTGGACACATGGTATCCTGTGCTGGGGATCCCTCATGACCTGTAGCTCTTCTTGTACCCAGAATCTTCACAGGTGTCACTGAACACTTACACTTTGCAAAAACTCACCATTAATCTTTCCCTTAGTCTCAATAGGCATATTTTTTTTTTGGCTAATCAACCAGATGGTCCCAAGCACTGTGCCATGTGAGATACAGATGCCCTCCAAAAGATTCATGAATTTCTTCTGGCATCCAAGGCATGGAGGATTATCTTGTGCCTTGGTTTCAAGCAATACATGGGTCTTATCTGAATGAACAACTCTTCGGTATCTTACTAATAGTCCCATCCTCTGTGCCTTTTAAAGGTTTCATGGCTCGTCCTTCTGACTTTAGGTATCATTAGAGCAATTAGGCAATCCTGTAAGAGAGTAATATCATCAGCACTTAAGATGATGTCATCAATGTAATGAATCCAATGGACAGCAATGGGGAAAAGAAGAATTACATATGATATACTGTGTTAGTCTGGGTACTTTAGAGGAACAAATCCACAGAAACTCATGCATAAGAGAGAGTTTTATATAAATAGTAAGTGCACATCAAGAAAATATCCCAACCCAGTGCTGCCCAAGCCCCTAAGTCCAACATTAACTCATTAACCCATATGTCCAACATCAATCCACAAAGTCCTCCTCCATCTCACAAAACAGATGCAATGATGCCGATTTCAGGAGGAAAGATGAGTCAGTGAATGTGTAAGCATCTCAGCATTGGCAGGGGTCTCCACACGGGTGCTCCAGCACCCAGGGCTGCCTTGTGGTAGGTACATTTGGCTTCTCCTCAGGGATGTTTGCAGGAAGTGAGCCTTGCCAGATGAAGGGGAACTGGCTAAGGTAGCTGCACCCTGGTTTTGACCATCAGAAAACAAGAGACCCAAGAACTAGAAACGCAAGGCTCACTGAGCCATTTATCTCTCTGCCCTTCAATTAACCCTACATGTGTTTATTGGCCTGGTTAGCACAATAAACTAACTACTCATACACTAACAACCATCCTTCCACAGGGGTTGTGTAAACGCCTCTAGAGAAGTAGGAAGAATGTTCATTGTTGCCCCTCTCAGATAAGGAAAATTGATTCTGAACAAAAAAAGCTAGAGAGGTGCTAACAAAAGCATTAGCTGCATCTAACACTGCATGAAATGTGTCCAGGTCTCCATTAATAGTTTCTACCAGAGATACACTGAGAATTGATTTGATGATTTTTATATGCTTTTGGAATCTTTTGACAGAA